AAACAAAACAAAACAAAACAAAACAAAACAAAACAAAACAAAACAAAACAAAACAAAACAAAACAAAACAAAACAAAACAAAACAAAACAAAACAAAACAAAACAAAACAAAACAAAGGAGAGCAGAGCAGAGCAGAGACAGAGTCGGGGGGTGGAAAGAGTTTATAGATCGGATGGAAGTGGAATATTTTCCTCACTTAAATATTTATTATGAAATTCACCTTAAAAATTCCTGGATTTTTAATGCCGACGTGGGGGAGAGGGGAGGGTGGGAGGGAGATATTCATTCCAATTTCAAATATTCATATTCACATCTTAATAATTCTTATTCATAATCTTAATATTTATAGTCCCACCATCAGTATTCATATTCACACTACTTCAAAACACAGTATTCAACATGCAGTACTTCATCTTCCACCCCTGGGGCCTTGTTCTTGGGTTTGATTCCAGATTGGAATTTGGAACATTTCCAAAGCAGTATTCCAAGTTATATAAATGGTAGTTTTTGTATACTGAGAATAAGAAAACAGAATGAAAAATTGGAGCAGCAAGCAATTGCCCATATTTAAATTATGTGAATGTATATGGACATTGAAAATCATAAATATTTGATGATGTATTAATCTCAGTAAAGATGGGTTTCTGTTTTATACCAAGTGCAATTCACGTTGGACAATATAAAAGAGAACCCCGAAAACAAAACATTTTGTGTCCATCCGTGGTCACTCGTGGTCCATCCGTGGTCAGTGTCCCTCCATGGTCACTCATGTCCCTCCGTAGTCACTCGTGGTCCATCCGTGGCCACTCGTGGTCCATCCGTGGTCACTTGTGTCCCTCCATGGTCACTCATGTCCCTCCGTAGTCACTCGTGGTCCATCCGTGGTCACTCGTGGTTCATCCGTGGTCACTCGTGGTCCATCCGTCGTCACTCGTGTCCCTCCGTGGTCACTCGTGTCCATCCGTAATCACTCGTGTCCATCCGTAGTTACTCGTGTCCATCCGTAGTCACTCGTGGTCCAACCGTGGTCACTCGTGCCCATCCTTGGTCACTTGTGTCCCTCCGTGGTCACTCTTGCCCATCCGTGGTCACTTGTGTCCCTTCGTAGTCACTCGTGTCCATCCGTAGTCACTCGTGGTCCATCCGTAGTCACTCGTGGTCCATCCGTAGTCACTCATGTCCATCCGTAGTCAATCGTGTTCCTTCGTGGTCACTCGTGTCCAGTGCTCGTGTCCAATCGCGGTCAATTAAGCTTTTATTTCGGTAAAAGTGGTATCAAGATTTTATTATATAATTTGGTTGATTTGTTACCCCTTAAGAGGAGATTTTAAAACTAATGCGTATAATATATCACTTGAGGTTATGACTAAATTCAAAATTTTTATTTTTCGATACGTTTCTCAATCGGCAAACAAACTCAAAAGTATGTTTAGTGCTTTATTTGTAAAATAATGCGAAAATGAAGAGATTTTAGATGATACGCCAAAGTGAAAATGACGCCTGAAGTTCAGTAAGTTTTGCTTATATGGCTGTAAATATGGCGTCAATTTTAAAGAATCATTGATAATTGTATTTTAATTGATAATTTTTAACTATTATTTTATGTTTTTCAACCGGCAGATGCATTTAAAAAGGTTGTTAACTGTATAAACTAGAGAATAAAGCTAAAACAAAGTAATTTTGAGAGGAACGCCAAAAAGATTTTAGGTTTTGAAAACTTTTCATTGCAAATACGTGACATTGAAAAAAATTGCCTCTTAAATCTTTAAGCCTAAATTATATTTAAACATCACTAAGAGTTTCTTACCGCTTTTATACGCCGAAATTCAAGTGCTACTTGTGCTTCCGTGTATTGATAACCGCATGGGTACTTTTACGTTTTGCATTGTTTATATTTTGAGTGTGTTATAGTGCAAAATTATTTGAAAACTCAAAAGTACACCTGGCATTGTAATAAAAAAAAACTATGCATTAAACGGCAACCTGCAGACGGCTGCCAACAAACCGCAGTTTGCGGCCGATTAGCCGCGTTAGCGCTTTAACGTCGAAGGAAACTCCAAAGGTCTCTATCTATCTTCCTCGTCGCTTCAGTTTCGAGATCAGTAGAGTTCAGTGGAAGAACAATCGGAGTGCGCGGCTTAATGGGAATGAGGGATTGTGGAAGAGCCCCAAAAGTTCGGTCTTCAGATCTAGCAGTGGCGGATTACCAGTTACGGGGCCTGTAGGCTAGGTAGAATTCGCGAGCCTTGAGGGGGATATTCCCACGCAAGTTCTGCTGAATTAGACAACGATAACGAACGTTAGCTACGTGCAATTGGACATATTCCCTTTTGAACAAAATTTTGATCTAGACAAGTCTAGACAAAAATTTCATCATGGCTTGAAAGAGCATCACAAAATTAGTAATATTCCGAAGTTTCGTTGCGAAATGCTGTGAAATGCGGATAATATAGCCCTACGAAGTTTGCCGTTTTTCAGTCATTTTGTATTACGCGCGGAAAATTGACTTTTTTCAGAAAGCGGTATCAATTTCCCGTGCGTAATACAAAATGACTGAAAAACGGCAAACTTCGCAGGACTATATTATCCGCATTTTACAACATTTCGCAACGAAACTTCGGAATATTACTAACTTTGGGATGCTCGTTCAAGCTGTAATGAAATTTGTGTCTAGATTTGTGTAGATCAAAATTTTGTTCATTAGGGAATAGGTCCATTTCTGGACTTTCTATAGAATTTTTTAAAAATAGAGTATATTGCAATAAATGACTAGTATTTTTAAAATACAAAATTTCAGAAAAATTGACCGAAGAAAAAACAAGTTATTGCATTACAAACCTTGCGCGGTCAAATGAAACTTTTGCTGACGTAATAAAATTAATTTCAACTCGACAAGATCACGTCATTTCGTTACCAGTCCCATGCTTAATTAAACAAGTGTAGGGCAGCCTAGTCCCTAGGCCTCTTAGTTCACGGAAATCAAAAGCGTGCACAGAGCTAGACTTGGGACTAGTCTGAGTCTAGGGAGCCACCTTAAGTTCGGCCTCTTGTCGACGTTTGCGCTCCTTTACGTCCTCCCTGTTCCTTTATTAGGGAGTTTAAGATCTTCACGACGAACTACCGACTACGCTTGAAATACTTTTTGTTGTATGTATGCAAATACTAAATGCTTGTCATAACAAATTTATCCCAAATATGTTTTATGTGCATGGCTTTGTGTTCGGCAAGTTTCATATTTTAATGTTCATCATTTCTTTATAAAAATACTCTCCAACCTGCAACGTTGCGTAGTCAGTTTCGGTGCAATGTTCTTGATTGTGTTTTACAACACAAGAATGTGATTTTTACGCTGTAGCCAAGGTCGCTACGGTGAAAAGTATGCTCTGGGGATATGTAAATTTTATCTGCCTTTGTTAAAGCAATGCGAAAACAAGCCTTAATTCAACCGTACTGCGTACCCGTTGTTCGTTGTCGGGATCTTAAACTCCCTGTTTATATTGAGAAGGTCAGCATAAATATCCACTAATTGTGGCAGTAGCTACTTCTTGAGTGCTGAGCATTGTGCAGTTAAATTGCGCGTAGGCGTTACGGTGAGGATCAACAATCAAGAAAACCAAGGAACTTATAGTTTTTGGATTAGCTGCTATATCAATATCTCATTGCCTAATAGACAATTTCCATTATAGACTAATTACAAAATTAGGCAAGGAAATGCAAATAAATCACCACAGCTAGAAAGAGCAGGGCCTATCAGAGGGGGGGAGGCAGAGGGGGCTCCCATGCAACTTTGGAAAATTTTTAAAAAAATTTGAAACGTGTTTTGAAATAATTAATGGTTGAGAAAAAATTTTCTGAAAAATTTTTTTAACCCTTAAATTAAATGATGTTAGTCCGAGCATACTAAAATTAGAAAGAGCATACTAAAATTAGTAAATTAGTAAAATTGCAAAGTTTGGTTGCCGAAAATGTTGTAAAATGAGGAAAATATAGCCTTGCAAAGTTCGCAAATTTTGTATACCTTTGTATTGCGTGCGGAAATTGCTACCACATTTCTACCGCATTTGGGCCGAAAATATGGTAGCAATTTCCGCACGCAATACAAAAGAATACAAAATTTGCAAACTTTGCAATGCTATATTTTCCGCATTTTTCAACATTTCGCAACCAAACTTTGCGATTTTACTCATTTTAGTATGCTCTAGCTGTAGTGATTTATTTGCATCTCCTTGCCTAGTTTTAAAATTAATCTATAATGGGAGTTGTCTACTAAAAACAAAAATTATAATTCTAATAAATATCACGGGCCTCTTGAAAGCCCGGGCCTGTAGGATTCAGCCTACTGGGTAATCCACCACTACTTTACAGTAGCGAGTAACTATAATGTTTTGATTTAGGTATATCTTTCGAGCACAACCTCAGGGCACACACTGGTACCATTCGCATATGCGCTACCAAAGAGATAGTGGCTTATATGGTGCGTTGATAGTACGCGAAGCAGAAACGCCCTTTCCGATCTTCTCAGAAACATTTGAAGACCAACCTGAGAGAAAGACAATGGCTATATTAGATACCATGATAAATCCACAAACATCGTTCATGGGACGCACCTCGGTTTTGCCTCGGTATTGCTTGCCAGACGGGTCAGGCATACCAGTGCAATTTGATTATATCCAGTTCCAAATGAATGGCCAGCGTCTTCCTAGACGTGCCAGTTTTGCAGGTTTGAACTCGCAGATAGAATTTTACGTGGTTGGTGGTAAGAACTATCGTTTTCGAATCATTGCAGCGACGGAGGAGAACATTTTTGTGATCAGCATAGATCAGCATAAAATGCATGTGATGGCGACGGACGGGTATTTAGTAAAACCATTTGAAACGGATTATCTTGTCGTGCACGTTAGTGAACGATATGATTTTATTTTGAAAGCCAAGGAAGGCGTGTCGCCAGGTTCTAAATTTCCAATCAGGATTCAGTCACTCGCAGTTCTTTGCAATGATAATACCAAGCTAGCTGGGGAAAGTTACGGTTTTCTGGTGTACACAAATGGATTTGTGCCAATGAGACCTGCACTTCGTGAAAGATTGATAGTTCAGAATGGTCGGTGTAATGATAAATCCAATCCATGCAAGGTGCTGAATTGTCCTTTCGGGAAAATGCCAAATGATTATTCTAATCCAGGTACATATATGACATGCTTTAATGTACTGGCCCTTCAGTTATTGATTCCTACCCCACAAGGTGAATATCCAAGTTCAGTAGTTGACCGTAAAAATGAATTTTTCTTTAACTTTCATCAAACGGCGGAGGGATTGATTAATGGCATTAAGTTTGATTTTCCTGAAGAGCCTATACTTATAAGTAAGAAAATTATAAATGAATGCGCATATCCGGTAAGATGTAACAAAATTGGACGACGGCATTGCCGACATACAGTCTATTTAGAAAATTACGGTAGCTCTACAAGATTTGTGCTTTCTTCTCTTCGTCTGCCAGTCCCCATTACGCATCCAATCCACATGCACGGACACTCGTATTTCATTGCTAAAATTGGCTACCCTGAATACGACGAGAGTGGACGTATCACGGCCCCGAACAAGGATCTAAAGCTGCCTTCATGCGGGCACGCAACATGGAGCGATGGCACCCCCGGCGGGATTGTTGTGAACAGTACTACAGTCCGTAAAGACGCAATCATAGTGCCCGCTGGTGGTTATGTCGCTATTCATCTTCTTCAAAAGAACCCAAGATGGTGGTTCATGCATTGTCATATTGATTACCATCTCAATCATGGAATGGCGATTGCAATCGGTGAAAATCCAACCATGGCGAGCACACCTCCCGATCCACTGTACAATGTCACGGAGGAATTTTGCTTCACCCTGCAAACATTTCTTCTTAAAGAAAGTAGTAACGGCTGACCAGACCGAAATAATTGTAGCAGCCAATAATGCAATAATGACGTTAACCATGTTCGTAGTTTAATAGTGAATTGTAGCAATCAATAATGCAATAATGACGTTAATAGTGAATTGTAGCAGCCAATAATGCGATAATGACGTTAATTTTGTAGTGTAATGATTAATTGTAGCATTGAATAATAATGCAACAATGACGTTAATTTTGTAATAGTGAATTGTAGCATCGAATAATGCAATAATGACGTTAATTTTGTAGTGTAATGGTCAATTGTGGCATTGAATAATGCAACAATGACGTTAATTTTAGCAGTCAATTGTAGCAGTCAATAATGCAATGAAATTTTGTAGTGTAATAATCAATCAGTGTAGCAGTCAATAATGGAATAATGACGTTAATTTTAGCAGTTAATAATACAATAAAATTTTGTAGTTTTATAATCAATCAGTGTAGCAGTCAATAATGGAATAATAACGTTAATTCTGTTGAATGATGTTGATTTTCGTTAGCCTAAATGCCAAGTCACACCACACAATGATACAGGGATGGATCCAGCATGATCTGGTGGTGGTGGTGGGGGGGGGGGGGTGCCCTGCCAGCTCTGGTTCCGAGTTGTGTCGGTCATGTGTGCCACCCGCCCATCAACTTGCTTCACTACTGCAAACTTTAAGTCTTGCTTCACTACTATATTTGAATTGTAATTGTTGTTCACAGTTCGCTTATCATGTTATTACTCAAATTACTGTATCTCATTTTGTCTCTAATAATGTTTTGCTTTATCATGAAAAATAGCACCACCCCCCTGCACCCCCTCTGGCCAGGGCTAGGGGG